ATTAATCTATCCTTTTATTTTGCCTTATACATGTGAGTTTTTATGAAAATTTTGAAATTACACAAGAAAAATTTTAATTTTAAAACTGCTGTGGTGAATGAAATTTTAAAATTTTTGGGAGAAAATTCAAAATCGTACATTGAAATTTTACAATTTGTGGTAAAGGCAACTAAACCACTGCTCTGAAATTTAACAGACGCTTTGACGTTATCAGCTTGATAGATCTCTAACCAAAATTTGATGTGATCATTTCAAAAATTTATGAAGTTAATCGTGTTTAAAATGTTTAGTATACTTGCATACGTTTACATGTCTGATTTATTAATCCACCTATTCTCATAAAAAAAAAAAACAAAATCTGTAATATTAACATTTATAATACTTACGTACCTAATTAATCTTACTGGATTGTATTTCAGATGTCGTTTTGATCGTTTTTCTGTTGGTATGGTCATTTGTATCGATTTGTTTTAATTTTATATTTTGTTTCTGCCTTACTTTATATATATATTTTTCAACGTGTTCACATTTTTTAAATAATTGCCATGATAATTTGTAATTTGTATAAGAGTTATATTTCATGGATGTGCTAATTGGGATTCGATTCTTCACCGTGTCAGTTAATTCCATTTTTCTTACTAGTCGTAACCATATTTTATGTTCCGTTTTTTATTATATTTTAGGATTTTATTTTTTATTCTGTGCCAAAAAATACTTGATTTTTTACTCATGTGTGTTTGTCTTTTGCGAGATTTAATGTAAACTTACATGATTCATGTATGCAAATATTGTTCTTAAAAATGTTAATTTACAAAAAAGGAGATGCCTAAGTAAGAAAACAGACAATGAGGAAAGACGTTGATATAAAACAATATATTTTTACTTCGACACTTGGCACTGATCGAAAGTAGGTATAGTGTGAGTAAACTGACCCCTTTTAATGGTCAGTTTGCCTTAAATATTAGGTACCTATGCTTAGGGTAAATGTGTACAAGAGTACGCACTTAGTGTAAAACTGTCAATAACTTTTTAATTATTTTGGATATACAAATTTTATGACATGGGTTCGTCATATACATGTTTAGAGATCAGATATATTTAATTGTACGTCCCAAGACCACTATATTTTAAGAGTAATTTCAATTTTTGTCAAGATGTGTAAATCCGCACTCTTAGACAGTCCACTGCACAAGAGTGCGCACTTGAACGCTTATGAGTGCGCATTACATTTTATGAAAAAAATCTTTATTTCTAAGGTGAAAATAAATAGGGACAAGTGACTACAGACTACACATACAACGGGATCCATATTTCTTCGTACTCTACGGGTCTTGAAATTCGAGAAAACGTAAAAGTAGAGAGTCGGTCGACGGACTCGATCACAATACTTCATTCGCTTACGCTCAGGAAGTAAAAATTAAAAAACAAACATCACCATAACCACCACCACACAACTTGAGAAGCAGTACAAAGTAGTAGAGTTAAATAATTCATTATAGTAGATATCATATGTATCTATAAGACTACGTATCGCAAGTATTGCGCACTCTTGTACATTTGTACATAACCTAATGTTTTCAAAGTTAAAAGCTTTTGATGTATAGAAAGTATAAAACTGCTAGTGTATAACGACACCTTAAAAGTTACAGCTAATGAACATTATTACTGTAAAATAAAAGAACTGGTACGTACCTTACAAAAAACTAAAACTATGAGCTGTAAAAATTACATCCACACAACGCGTAAACATAAAATCGTCAGTACGATCAAACTATAAACTATATACAGGTCACTGTTGCACCTTTATCTCAAGTTTAGCATTTGATTGTGAATGGTATAACTTCATCTTACCCAGATGGCACTAATAAGCAGAAATCATCAGTGCGTACTCTTATACATATGCGCACTCTTGTACACATTTACCCTACATATGTTTCAAGATGGGTATATTAGGATTATTAGTATAATATTTCGTAACTACCCTCAATAAAAACGAATCTGTTTGAATAACACTGGAGTTAGATGTTTCTTTGCAGCTTTAATTAGTGTAAACAGAAGGCGTAGGTAGGTATTACAAAAATGTTTCACTAAGTGAACAAAAATAAAACCCAGTTCCAGAGATGAAGTTATTTTATACGTACAAACAACATAGTTTAAATACCGATTATTGTGTGTTTTAAAAGGTACAATATGGAATTATTAGGGTTATTGCATTATCACTGTGTCTGTAGCTAGAGACATATAAAATCAGTAAGTGGTGCACAGACAGGTTCTGTAATACCAATAGAGAACCAGTATTGTTATCGCCTGGACTTATACATTACTACTGACTTTTCGTACAGTGACTATAGTTATCAACGAAGATACTTTGCTTTATATAAAAATTGATCTTCCAGAATAAAAAGAAGCAGGTTGTTCGTTTCGATCTGTCTTTCATATGCTTACTAACTGTGTATTTGACAAGTTTTTACACATAGAACACATAGGTACACTGTCTGAAATTCTCAAACCGATTTGTTGAGATTGATATGAACTTACCAGATTATTTTTAGATTTAAAATATGCACCCTTACATACATAAGTTACCTATTACACATTAGTTTAATAATATATTCTTGTTTTTAAATTTACTCATTGCTGTTCGAAAAATTACGTTTGAAGGTTTTGTAACATGTTGATATACAGCAACCAAAATACGAAGATGCAAATTTTTCAGTTTAGTCTGTACGTTCTCATTATGCAGAGTGCTTTTATTACTTAGATACATACTCTCCTTCCGCCTTTTCTTCTAACTTTTATAACGATATCGACACCAAAATTTAGAACGTTTATTAGAATTTTGTTTTCGATAAAATTCTGATCAAGTCATCAGTCATCACATATCTAAGAGACTTTATTGAAACAATGTTTGTGCTGTTATTCTTACATGAATAATGATGATGTTCGATCATAGTGGAAGATTCAGAAATGGTGGAGGATTTTTATCTTAATTGATATTGATGGATCGTAATTAAGGACCTACTGGTTGATGGTTAAATCACACAATTGCAATTTTATTTCAAAAATACGTATTTTCATGATTCAATTTTAAGTATTGTGTATAAAACAAATATAAATGATACTTACCTATTTGTTTACCCAGTTTCATCCACTTATAAAAAAAATAAATTTAAGTCCGTCACAAAAATATGCCTAAGTATAAAGTTAGAAAAAAGGCTAATGCTGTTCACGTTACGAATTCTTTTTAATTTTTCAGACCATTTATTTTTTCTCAAATTTGACCTCGTTTAAATATTCTAATCTCCAAGAATTAGAAGTGTGTGAGTCATTTACTATGTTGTCAGTTAACTTTTTCTGGTAAAAATGCACAATTCATGTACCTACATATTTTAGATAAAAAAGCAGCAGTCATGTACCTACTTACTGTTAATTCGGGCCATCAAACATATAAAATAAATCTTCGGCTTCAAAAATACCATGGATAAAATTACACGTCAATTTTATTCATAAAATTGGCACAGAAATTGAAAAGCTGTCAGTATTTTTATTAACGCTTTTAACCTATACGCTCAGGACCCACCACAAATATATCATTGCCAAAATTACCTCATAACCATTTCCATAATGAATACACCGCACGCAGCGTGTAAATTTGATTAGGTTAAGCGGACCTTAATGAGGGAAACCTTAATGAACAATTCAACCAATCAATCTAATAAAGAAATCAACACAAATCACCATACTTTCACAGCTTTAAAGCTACACCCGCGGGAGCTTAACTTAAGATTTATAGATCCGGTTAGATTAACTCGACAATAAATATTCTCCGCATATTTTACATACGCAGACAGGAACTAAAGTACCTATCAATAGTTTAGTGATAAATGTAAAGTATGCAGTAGGTATCATGCTTTTGTTACAGGCAATAACAAACGAAATACTTATTTCACTTCTAGTGGAAAATTTACGATATTTTGTTGAACTATCGCACTTATCTCCTCCGAAAAAAGTGATTTCCGTTGTCCTGACCTACGACAATTCAAAACGCATTAATAAAAGCACATGTGACCCGATACTGGTGAATCATGACGCATTTCCGCAATTTATCATATCTAAATGAAATAAAAATGCATCTGAAGCTAATGCCTAAAACCACCATAGATGAAAATCTCCCTGAAATAATTTAAAAAAATACCAACTTTACTTTTCCCATTTTCCCCAAAATGTGCTTCGTCCTCACCATCTCCGAAAGTAAAACAGACAGATACCTACATCTACCAGCCAAATGTATAAGCAACATTCAGAATGGAAAATCGTAAAATTTTTACTATTTGTCATCCAATGGGACGGTTTACGACTTTTTCCCGTCTCTGTTGGCAACCTTGCCGCTTTTCTCCCTCTCTCTCTCTATTAGGCGGTCCCTCTCCGGTTGCCATGACTGTATCGACCGGTATCTCCTCGGCGATTGGTCCACAACTCATAATTTTCATCACGTGAACGCTTGTTTCCTTGTTACCATCATGGCTGAAGCCTATGCTCGGCTGAAAGTCACCGAGGATCCCCGACGACGTACGTCCCCTCTCCGTTTTCTTCTAGCGGCTGGTAAACGAGAAAGAAGGAAGATTTCGCGGGGAAAAATATTTAGCGCGAATTGCCGTATTTTAAATATGGACTAGAGTTCAACGATTCGATTGATATCGGTGCAATTTTCTTATAAACACGTTTCGGAACGGTGACCCCCATTAGCCTTTCCAATCAGATTCGTTATAAAATGTTGGTTGGTCCAAAAACCATTAAAGACTTATTATTCAGTCATATAACCGTCTAATGATGTACTTGGATTTATACTACATGTATAAAATGCTCTCGCTCGGTTAAATAGTCCCAACTTTTGTAGCCGGGGTTAAGCTGACGGCACAAATGGTCCATTGCCTCGCCGCTTAGACTGTGACGGTTTAGCGAGTCACCCTGACGGAACCCTCACAGTCTAGCATTCACGTGCAGATTATTCCCCTCTTCAGTGAATTTTTATTATAGTTAGTAGGTACATCCATACTTTAGGGTGTTATTTGTTTTAGTCGGTGCGAGTGCTGGGTACAATTGTGTCTTCGTGGTCATAATTGGATTATTTCTGTAGTTTGGTGAGTAGATAAATAAATATAAATAAGGACAGGACGGTGGAGGAATGAAAGCCGAAAGAGAAAGTGTTTGACTTCGGACGTGCGTAAGGTGGAGTGAATTGGCACACAGCCATTGGCTTCGTCTTTTAATAGCGTTTAGTTCGGAGTTTCTCCACCGAGCTATTGAAGCAGCACTGTGCGTTTATGTACCAATTCTCTCGACTCGGACGCCGTTTGGTCCAATTATCTACCTAAAGGAAAACTGCTTCCGGAATCAATAATTTTCTCTCATATCTTGCTTTATTTTCGTTTGATCAATCCTCCACACAACAACCAATCGATAACCTAACGTCGAATCAAGCCACTAAATGTCAATTGGGACAATTGTGACGTCACGTGACGTCACGGCCTTTAATGGTTAAAAATGCACGAGTAACTGTGACGTGTGTGCTCATTTACATACAGTACTTACCGTAGATTATGTCTTTTGATGGTGAAATATGAGTCGTCGGATGTTTCTCAAGAAATAGTGGGCAATAAAGTTTTTGTTTGAAGTTTTGTTGTTTGGTTAACATTAAATTCGCATTGTCGTTGGTCAGTAACAAGAAACATTTGGTGTGTGTGTGTGTAATAAAGCCATATATCACACACAAGTGGTGTCTGAGTTGACTGACGTGGACTAGACTTTGATGACCTCGTTTAGGTTTTCATATTGAAGGGACCATATGGTGCTAAACAAGTGTTTTTGTTTCTTTGATTCCGTAGCGTAAGCTGAAAGAGAGTAAGGACATACCTACACGTGACTAACATTATAATAAATAGTTTGTTCATCTGTTTAAGGAATAGTTTGAAGTCGAGTTATGCTAATGTGTTCTTGAATTTCGTATTAACCTAGACTATTTTATCTACTCATTTATGTATATTACGGATAGATTCGAACCTTTTATCAGAGATCTGTCGTGTGATACTTTTTTGCTTTGATACTTTGTTGTTAGTTATGGCCGATATATCATGAATATGCACGGAAACAAATAGTTACCTGCATTAGGCAAAGTTGTATAATTATTCATGATCGTGGGTCGATTAGAGAAAATTGCCTCATAATTATTATGAATGCATAATTTTTCCAAATGGCTGTTATCTTTGATTTCATTCATTGTTTGTAATATTAAAGTAGCTCTACTACACATTTATTTATAATTGAGCGTGCATAAAATCAGAAAAATAAAAAATGTATAGTCTAAATAGGCTATTTTCTCATTTAGGTATACATTGAAATAATGTCAGGAATAAATAACTCGGCTTTCTACGAATGTAGAAAGAAGTATATTTAAATCCTGACAACGAAATACATGGTTTATATGTGGATAGACAGCGGATTTTTGTAACATTAAATAAATATATGATGAACTTATTTTTTAACATTAGTCTCTTAGTAAGTTGTTCAGAGTATGTTTTGATTTTGCATTGATAATGAATGATCTGTTGCAAGTATCTTGAAAAAAACCGCATGAAGTTATTATTTCTGAAGGCCTTAAATTGATATTTAAAAATAAATATATGTTACTAAATGATAAGGTGTTACCTTGTTTTTATTTTGAGTAAGTAGGTGCAGACATAATATTTTTTTTTTATTTATTCCACTTCGCTGTTATCAATTAATTTTTGGTTAATTATTAAATTATCATATTAAGTAGATTACGAACTAAATTAGTAAAAGTTAGACATTTATGAAAATATAGCAGTTTTTTACGTCACGTTTAATATTTATTTTTTTATTATTATTTTTTTGAGGCGACATTTCATTTATTTGCAAAATTTCAGTAAAACTATTAGTTATCCTCAGCTCATAAATACTGACAAATTATGCAGGTTCTGACAACAATATTTACTTGCTAAACGGAAGGACAAACTACTGTTTTACTGCGATTAAGATTCATGTTAACAATATAATAACAAGTACCTAGTTAAATTATTACTTACCTCTAACTTTGGTTTCTCATGTAGGTATTGTACAAATGTAAATAATAAACATCTATGTGGTTTCTAAAATTACATAAGTAGGTATGTTAAGTTTTTGATGTATTTTTGTAAATTATCAGTTTATTTATTACTTATTCAATTATTTGTTTAATATGAAAATTTTGCGCAATTACAGAAATTTGGTTTCAATCAATTTTTCTTAAGTAGATAGGTATAACTTGCGTAAACTGCTTTTTGGCGAAACACAATTTGGAAACATTAGGTAGGTATGTTCTAATTAAGTTATCTTAATCTGAAATAATTTATTTAACAGTTTCCATTTACTGTGCAGCTACATGCTTTGTGAAAAAGTAGACTTTAATCATAATTTTGCAGTGTGTTACTACAGAGAATCGTCATATTATATTATCATTTTTTTTATGTTTTCGTTGACCGCATTAGATAAACGAATTTATTCGTATGTGTTTCACACTTTTACGTCGGCGTAGTCATAAATCTTACCGTAGTGTGTGTGAATGTTATTGAGTGATAACTAAAATTAATGTTCTAAATTTCATTTTTTGAAATTTGACTGTACAAGTTTCAGGTAAATAATGATTCACAACTAAGGATATTAATTAGATAACGCAGGTACTCCATTAATTTTCTTATTTCCTCTTATGTTTATTGCTGGCATAGCTCACACTAAATTAATTACAAATTAGCATTATATCTACCTACCGTCTTATGCCTTTTACTTTCATCTAAAATAAAACACCGGGGATCCAGTATATCTAAATTTTAATAAACACGATACACATTTGTTTCTTTTTTTAGCTTTATAGCAAAAGCCTCACTTAACAAATCCTAGTTTCCAACTTCTAGAGCCACAGACCTTGTAATCTCCCATAACAGTTATGAAAATTCCACCAGGCTGAAATATAAAAATAAAGCACATGTTTACTGGTTCAGCATGATGAAAATAACGGAAAACTTTATCTGATGAAATGTGTATAATGGACTGCCAATCTTGTTCTGAAACTGAAATGGGCCAAACTTGCCAACGCCAACATCCAAAAATGAAACTCCTCCACTGCATCGAAATGTGCAAACCGTTCGCCTCGATCGCACATTTGTGTAGGTTCTTCAACAGTGGCGCCTCGTTGGGGATGGAGGGTAGGCAGCGCTTATGCAAATTATCTGTGTATTACAAAGTTGTTTATTTAGTTAACCAAATCCGTGTTGCTCGCATGTACCTGTAAACATTTTTGAGTTTCGGTAAAAGAAAATAAATATTAGGTAGTATTATCAGGTACATCAATTGAAACAGTTTTCACCACTTGCATTAAAAAGATTGCGAATTAAGTGCAAAACTAATCGATGAATGTTGTACAAAAATGGGAGAATAAAATATGTTTTTCGAAAAGCCACAATAATGATTTTACCGGATTTTTGTTGATTGCATAATACTTAATAAGTGTTGAGAAAAAACGGTTTCTAAATTCAGTCAAATTCAAATTTGACAACTACGATATTATTGATAAAAGCTAAATAAAATGATACCCTTATTTGGGAATTTTTTTAGTGGTTAAATAAGCTCAATACCTATAGGTAATAAAATGTTGGTAGGACAAAGGGAACAATTCCATTAAATAACTAGAAAAAAGAATAATTTTAAATGTTCTTGGACTATTGATGTCTGTGACTAATGTTTTTGTTAGTCCTACAATATCCAATTAATTGAAATGTAAAGTTGCAACGACATTTTTAGACGGTTTTAGTTGACCGGGAAAAATTGTTTGAAAGACTTTCGTTACTTTTTTTTTGTATTTAACGATTTTGTTTTAACTTAAAATACCTAGGGTAAATGTGTACAAGAGTGCGCATATGTATAAGAGTACGCACTGATGATTTCTGCTTATTAGTGCCATCTGGGTAAGATGAAGTTATACCATTCACAATCCAATGCTAAACTTGAGATAAAGGTGCAACAGTGACCTGTATATAGTTTATAGTTTGATCGTACTGTCGATTTTATGTTTACGCGTTGTGTGGATGTAATTTTTACCGCTCATAGTTTTAGTTTTTTGTAAGGTACGTACCAGTTCTTTTATTTTACAGTAATAATGTTCATTAGCTGTAACCTTTAAGGTGTCGTTATACACTAGCAGTTTTATACTTTCTATACATCAAAAGCTTTTAACTTTGAAAACATTAGGTTATGTACAAATGTACAAGAGTGCGCAATACTTGCGATACGTAGTCTTATACATATGATACTATAATGAATTATTTAACTCTACTACTTTGTACTGCTTCTCAAGTTGTGTGGTGGTGGTTATGGTGATGTTTATTTTTTAATTTTTACTTCATGAGCGTAAGCGAATGAAGTATTGTAATCGAGTCCGTCGACAGACTCTCTACTTTTACGTTTTCTCGAATTTCAAGACCCCTAGAGTACGAAGAAATATGGATCCCGTTGTATGTGTAGTCTGTAGTCACTTGTCCCTATTTATTTTCCCCTTGGAAATAAGGATTTTTTTCATAAAATGTAATGCGCACTCATAAGCGTTCAAATGCGCACTCTTGTGCAGTGGACTGTCTAAGAGTGCGCATTTACACATCTTGACAAAAATTGAAATTACTCTTAAAATATAGTGGTCTTGGGACGTACAATTAAATATATCTGATCTCTAAACATGTATATGACGAACCCATATCATAAAATTTGTCTATCCAAAAAAATTAAAAAGTTATTGACAGTTTTACACTAAGTGCGTACTCTTGTACACATTTACCCTATTGGTTAAATAACTGTACTTAACTTAATAAATGGATAAAACTTTTTTGGAGTTTAAAACAAAGCAATAAATGTGTGTTAACAAGACATGCAACTAAAAGCTTGAATAAATTGTAACTAAGGAGTATATATTAACCTTAAGGTTAGAAAATGAAGTCAATATTTTGGACATGGATAGTTAACAAATAAGTACCTACGATACTTCTAAGCTATTAAACAATAAGTGTTTATTATGTCTTACCTGTCCGTGTTGGAAAAG